ATCAAACCAATCCTTTTTGGGCATATAAACTTTATTGGCTTGGGACACTGTGGAGACTTGCACGAAACTGTACAAAAGGCTTAAAGGCATTTGCTCGCGCCTTTGTTGCTTGAGGCACCCGAGATTGCTTCTTGATTGATGCCTGGTGCTGAGTGCCGAGTGTACAAATGGGGGGCTCTGGTTGATGGTTGAGGGTCCAGCTTCTGCGACTGAGGTGATGCCGGACACAAAATATTGGGGCCGGCTGAAAATGTCATCCCAACAACTTGACTTTTGTACGTTTTTTGCGTTCTGTTGACCGCGAGCCTGATTAGAGGCTGAAGTGACAGGTCATGCCAGAACTCTTCGGTGGACAGCGACTACACTTACACACAGGTTTGGCACTGGCAAATGGGTTTGGTGCACTTGTTGCATACAGTCTGAGTTGCCATAGTGCCTTGTGGTTCAACGCTTGGAGGACCCCATCATCACTCCACCTGGCTGCATATGGTTCCCACTTCAGTGTTCAAAGCATCAAACGTGCTTTGCCTTGCTGCAAAAGATGCGAGTTAGTTACAGTAGTTAGTTAGTTGGTTAGTTAGTTGGTTGGTTGTTTGTTTGTGCGTGTGAGGTCAACCCACACTGGTCAATGGGGGCAGGCAACCATGTTCGAGTGTGCTGACGGACAGCCCAAGAGCCAGTTTGATACAAGTGCACATGTAGTGGCCGGCAGATGGGCAAACACTCGCAGGAACATACTGCAGCGAAGCCGACGCTGCCTGCTGTGTTGCTCATGGTGGCCGCATTCGGCAGGGATACCTGAAACTGCTCTCCAGTTATATACAATAAGAAAGCATTTGTATTTGGAAGCAATGGCCCTCCCCCCACTAGTGATGGCCTCTGTGAATTTGAATGTGCATTTAGACCGAAGTCGTTTCCATGGTGCTTGGGCCCGAGACGCGCCCTGATCTACGTTGTTTAGCGGATGTTCCATCGACCTTGCCGCCATATCGCATTGTCGGAAAACATAACGTTCGCTCGGATCTTGTTGTGTGAGAAAGGCGACCAGTTGTTCTTGCAGTGAGACTCCCTACCAGTTTTTCATGGTAGCGGAGCCTCTCGCTCCGAGGGGCTTGTTGAGTTGACATTGCTGGAGTCGACTTTGACCTTGTGCATTGTGTTGGTTTGTCACTTTTACTTTGTGCATTGTTACGTTGACAAAAGCAGTGTGTGGGGAGCTCAATGAATATTCCGAAGGAATATTATGAGGGGATGGTGGATCCAACGTTTCCGTGGTGGGATGGAAACTGGAGTACATATGAGGATTACAAGATCCGTGTTGAGTTGAGAGCCGACGCCTGCAAGACCGACGATTTGCCATTCTTGTGGCCAAGATTAGCAGCAAATCTGGTGGGCAAGGCTTTTGAGACTTTAGGTGAGATCAAGAGAGAGCAGCTCAAAAAGGCTGAAGGATGGCACTATCTGTTGACCTTCCTGGAGGACACAAGAGGCAGAGCCAAGGTGGATGACACATTTACAGAGTTTTCCTGCGCGAGGAGGCATGCCGTCGTGATGGTGAGGAGATCAATGACTATGAGACCAGGTTCAAGACCTTAGTACGACGCATGGAGAGAGCCATCGCAGAGACAAACTCCAGTGCAAAGATGCCACCTGAAGTATATGGATGGTTTTGCTGAATGTGTTCATGAGGATGTCACCTTGAGATGCTGCAAACATCCGTGGAAAGGCAAGCTCTTGCAAGGTAGAAGACGTGCTCACAGCTTTGTGTTTGATGTGGATCAGTGGAGGTTTAGGGAGTCGAGACGCAGAGCTACGACCTCGAAAGTCCACATCAGGACAGGCACATCACCAAGATGATGACTGAAAAGCTGGAGGTTGAACATGAGCCGGATGGCTCAGAGGAGATCTTCGAATTGGAAGAGTGGTGTGAAGATGCTACAGCAGAGCTGCTTGCAGATACAGAAGACAGTGCAGAGGTTCTGGCTGACTTCAAGGAAGCCAGGAGAGCCTTAGACCAGGCGAAGACGGCAAGAGGTTTCTATCCAGTGAAACCACCCGGACAAGGTCCATTCCGGGGGAAGGCAAGTCAGTCGAGCCGATCCTTTTCCAGAAACAGTGCACCAACCTCAGATGCTGACCGGATCTGTTTTCGGTGTGGGAAAAAGGGGCATACAGCAAAGCGTTGTCCACAGAAGCCTATAAGCAGTGGTCAGAGGAATATTGGCTATGTGGGATGGTGCAGTGGTGAGACAATAGATGACACTGAGGCACACCCGGAGGTTTAATTAGTGATTAATGTGCAACTCAGTGAGACCATCGATGAGTTCACAACCCAAACACCGGCAGAGGCCAATCATGGTCCATCTTGGGTTTTGTGTTGTCAGGAGATGGCAACCGGACAAGTCATGGCCTTACAGCCAGCCGACCTACGGGGGAAAGCAATTGTTGATTCAGGTGCTTCAGACAACATTGTGGGTGCTGAAACTTTACAAGATTTGGCAGAATGTTTGGAAGAGTTGGAATTTGACCCAACAAAAGAGATCGCCGTGGATCGTCAGATTCACAAGCGCTTCGTGTTTGGGAACGGAGAGTGTTCAGCTGGGCTAGGACTGTCGCATGTGAGTGCAGGAATCTGCGGAAAGAAGTGACAATTCAATCTCACCTGGTTGAAGGAAAGACACCATTTTTGTTATCTTCAAAGTTCCTCTACGACATGGATGCTACAATCAATTTCCGAACAGGCCGTTTCGAGCATTGAATGATCGTCAGATTCAACTGGAGCGCGCAGAAAGTAACCGTTTGATGATTCCCCTGACAGCTTTTGCTGGCCATCGAGAGGCCTTTCAAGAGTTGTTCGTGAAGGAAGAGGACACCGACCAGTCGGTCCACACCTTGAGCCGGAGTGACGCCGACTTGCCGCGCAAGACGGCCAGTGAAGATTGCAAGACGGTCTTTCATGAGACCGACACTGGCGATCAGGGCGCGGTGGACGAATAGGAAGAGCTCCACCCAGGCTCCAATGGACAAGCTATCCCTAGCTTGATAGCCTTGAGTGGAAGTGATATCAATGAACATGGAAACGTTGAAGTGGTTCATCAAGAGTGTGTGGTTGATCTGGAGTGTGATCAGGATTACCCGGAAAGCATTTTTCTGGCTGAACAACACACCAAACTTGGCCAACACATCGAACCAGCCATACAAGAAGGCGACAGGATTTTTGAAGGTCTGGTGGGAGGTCATCAGGTCGATTTGATTGAGGTGTGTGCACCCGCGGGACAGTCCTTTGTGTCAGGCCGTTCGTGAACTGGGAGGTACTGCAATCGCCCTTGGGTTACACAACGGATACGATTTGACCATTCGTGTTCTGAAACCCAAGTATTTGCGCGTGTCACCCCATGTGTTTCTTGTGGAGTTCTTTTCAGAATTTTACAAAGAGAAACGAGACGCAGCAGAGACACTTGGAACAATTGAGAGGACAAAGCAAGCGCTTGATCACCAGGTGTGCTCGTTTGCTCGAAATCCAACTTAAGGAACTGGACGGCCAAGGCGGGCACAGTGACACTGGTGGAGGAGAACATCCTCTCAGAGCTCAGAGTTGGAAAGCGACCGACATGGGTAGCGTGGCTAGGAAGTGTGGAGGACGGTTCACTGTTCATGGTTGTTGTCACGGCGTGTACGATAGAAAAACGAGGAAAAAGAAACCTTGAGGATGGTTCAGTACTTTGCCTGCTGATCGAACTGCCCTTGAGAGTTCATGTAACCATGATAGTCACACTCATGTGCCAGTTGAAGGGGATTTGACGGCAAGAACAGCTGTCTACCCACCACTGCTCTGCGCCCGTTTTGCCAAGGCCCATTTTGCAACCAGTTCTTGCTATATAGGTGTTTGCATGTGTCTTTTGAGAAGACCTCAGCATGTCTGGCAGCTGATTCACAGGATTATTGGAGTCAGGACCGTGGCTACCTGATCCGACATCACATGACAGCACGAACTCAGGCTTTTCAACCAAACGAGGTGGACTATCCAGTTGATCTGGAACGGGTGTCATCTTGGCGCCGGACAGTGGCTGAGTTGTCAGATGGACACCGTCTTGAACATGAGGACAAGAGGGAACCCCAGGGGCACCCTCTTGGACAATCGGACTGGAACCACCCGCTTCGTGAATTGCATGAAGAGGACAGAAGACATGAAGTGGAACTAGGACGATGAACCAAATCCGTTTGAGCCACCGAAATTTAGGTCATCCCAATCCTCAGACGATGCTCCGGATGTTCAAGGATGCAGGTGTTCCTCCAGAGGTGCTGAAACAGGTCGAACATTTTCGCTGTGACCAGTGCTTACAGCGAGGACGCAGAGCCACTTGCCATCCTGCCACTCCTCCACCCAATCGAAACAAATGGGAATGCATCAGCGTGGACACTTTTTGGTGGCGCATCCCAAAGGCATTGCTTTCTGAGGGTCCAAGAGGACAACATGTGGAAGCGACGGATTATCGCACGATACATGTGGTGCGACAAGGTGAAAAGCCCCAACATTCCATTTCTGGGAAAGAGTTCAGGGAGGGTTTTTCCGAGAGTTGGATTCGTCGTTTTCCGATCCCCCAAAAACTGATATGATGAAGAAGGGTTCATGAGGGGAATAGATTTGGTGAGTTGGTTGGAAAGTGCTGGTATTAAAATGGAACCTATTAGTGGGGAGAGTGCTTGGCAGATGGGCAAACACTCCAGACACCTGCAGATTTTGAAGGAGAACGCCAATTTGTTGGCATATGAATTCGGACCGACCACTGACGCTCCTGAGCTGTTGAATCTGGCTGTGATGGCAAAAAATGAGGTTCGCAATGTTCGAGGTTATACCCCCAATCAATGGCAGTTTGGAGCCAACCACGGACGGATCAGCTCAATTTTGCGTTTTGATGGACATTTGCCTTGGGACAGCCAAAGAGAAGACATCGACTTTGAAACCAACATGAAAAAGGAAGCGGCTGCCAGGAAATTGTTCATTGAGGCAGATTCGCAACGACGTCTTCAGCGTGCGCTCCGAGCCCAGAGGAGGCGTCTTCGTGAATACTGAAGGGATAGAAAAGAAGGCCCAAGGCAAGGAGGTCGGTGGCGCGGACCTGGAAGAGTACAGTGTCATGAAAAGAGTTCAGAGCAGCGTTTGACCAATCGCCCAGGATCAATCGTGTGGGTGAGTCACGCAGGGTTTTGGTTGAGATGCTCACCAGAGCAAGTGCGACCAGTCACCCAAGATGTACAAAGGGTTGATCTAGAAATTAAAGGACCTTCAGATTTTGAAACGATGTACCGCACACTGAGACGCCAGCAGAAGTTTCATGATCTTGCAAACGAAAACATTTACATTCCGGAAAATTCATCAAGTGATTGCATTCCGCGTTTTCGATGCTCAAGCAAAAGATCCCTGGACGTTGAACAACCTCCGGATTCCGCGCCTCGCCCCAAGCAATGAGCGCAGCAGGAAGCAAGCCCGAGCCAACTCTCAAAGAGAACCTCGAGAAGCTGACCAGCAAGACCGCCGCCAAGGAAATGGTGGAGAAGGCGCAAACCATGCCCATGGCCGAGTTGAAGAGCTGGAAGATCGATTTCGGGAAAGGAAAGGGCTGACATTCGAGGAAGCGCGTGCGAGCTTGCATCATGGCTGACTCTTCCTGCAACTTCTGGACCTCTTGTGTTGGTGTCCCTACCACCACCTTCGTCCATGGATCGAAGTCGCCCCTCTCGATCTTCTCTTCGAAGAGGTCGTCCATCTTGCCTTGCTTCTTGCTCCATGTCTCCATGTGAGAGCTCTCGCTTGGTTCCACGTACCCTCCAGCTGCCTCCATCTTGTTCACCACAGTCTGGGTGCGTCGGGTGAGGTACTTCACGAACATCTGCATGGTTGGGTTGCTCTTCACGGGACCCACGTGACTCGCTACCCATTCCGCGTACCCGGGCACATGGAAATGCTGATCGCCCAGATCGGCGGGGCTGAACATCGGGTAGTGGAACCTCAAAGAAGGCATCGTAGCCGGACTCCACAGAGGGATCCCAGCAATATCGGACAGGCAGAAGTGATGACCGCTTCACGGCCTGTCCATTTACACACCATGCCTGAGGAAAGCGAAGAAAAGCTGCAAGTGCTCTTCACACGAGCTTGTGAAACAACTGAGATAATAGACATTCATTTGAGCATTGCTGCGCGAGACGTTCATTCCAAACGTGGTGTTTGGTTTTCAACCAGAAGGCAAAAAGGAATGCTGAGGTTTGTCTTCGAAAACTTTCTGAAGAAGATCGTACAGGGTTTGAAATTGCAATGGGACATGAAGTGGATTCATTCACAAACAACAGTGCAGTTGAAATGTGTGCAAGAGCTGGCATTCCAGCAGAGCGTATTCTAGGAATGAGGTGGGTTCTGGTTTGGAAACCTATCATGAATGAAGAGGGAATTCAAACAGGTAGAAAGGCTAAGAATAGGCTGATTCTAAAAGGGTACATGGATCCTGAGCTTGTGACAGTGCCTCGTGAAGCAGCTACTTTGAGTACTTTGGGAAGAAATTTGATTTTCGCTTTGGTTGCTCAAAGGCAATTCCGGCTGGGCATACTTAAACGGAGACCAGACGGAATTAGAACATCAGATTTTGGCTGAGCCCCCCGATGAAGTGAAGAAATACCTGAACATGAAACCCCATGAGTTGTTGCGTGTTGCCAAAGCGGTGTACGGCCTGTGCCATGCTCCAAGAAAGTGTTTTGAGAAACTTCAGTCCGTGTTGTGGAGCCAAGGATGGCAGTCCCAGCAGCTGGACCAATGCGTGTTCTTGTTGACAGATCCACACGCTCAGGAGCTCTGTGGATACGTAGGTGCTCACGTCGAGGACTTGATTGTGGCAGGAGCAGGGTCTTATTTTGACCAACAGGTTCAGAAGCTCCGAAGTGCTTTTCCATTTGGGAGTTGGGAGTGCGCTCAGAAGAAGAACAAAAAATTTTGTGGATGCGACGTTTTTCAATCAGCTGAATGTGATATTCTGGTCAACCAAGAGAATTTTTCCTGGTCAATTGATGAGATCAATTTGGAACGGGAAAGAAAATTTCAGAAACATGATCTTGCCACCTCTTTTGAGAAATCCGAGATGAGAAGAGCCCTTGGTGCGCTCAACTGGAGGGCAATCCAGACATGTCCATGGCTCTTGTCTACTGTTTCACACCTGCAAGGGTGTGTGGAGAAAGCAACAGTGGAGGATTTGCTTGAAACAAACAAGGCCATTCGATGGCAACGAAGACACAGTCATGTCAAATTGACCTTTCCTCGCCAGGTACAAGATCGCTTAGTGTTAACCTTCTGCGACGCCTCGTGGGCGACGCGTCGAGACGGGAGTTCTCAAGGAGGTTCCATAACAATCCTGATGAACAAAGAGGTACTTTCTGGTAAGCTGTGTCATTTTCAGTGCTGTCTTGGACAAGTCGGCGGCTTCAGACGCATTGCAAGATCTTCAACAAGTGCAGAGGTACAAATGACTGGAAATGGTCTTGATGAACATGAGTTCTGCAAGCTGTATATATTTGATGAAGAATCCTGGAAAGATTGATTTACGCAATGCAGATTACATATTGGCAAAAGAGGGTTCTTTGCATGTTGAGTGACGCGAAGAATGTATATGATGCTTGGGAGCGTGTTCAAACATGTGGTTTACAGATGGAAGAGAGGAGGTCTTCTATTGTGGTCTTGGGGATCAAGGAGAGGTTGAACCAAACCAACGTGAAGTGTCGTTGGGTTTCAGGGGATCAAGAACTTGCTGATGGACTCACAGAACCCTGGAAGGGGAACAACTGATTCAAGCGCTGAATCAAACCACCTGTCGAATTATGTTCGACCCTAGCTTTGTTTCTGGCAAAAAGCGCAAGCAGCTACAGCAGCTGGAAGCGAAGTACGGTGATCCTGAATGGATGAACCTTGTGGAAAGTTTGGATGAATCAGGCTTCGGTCTAGAAAACTTTTGGACCCGTGTGAACTTGAATGTGCATTTAGACCGAAGTCGTTTCCATGGTGTTTGGGCCCGAGACGCGCCCTGATCTACGTTGTTTCGCGGACGTTCCATCGACCTTGCCGCATATCGCATTGTCGGAAAACATAACGTGCGCTTGGATCTTGTTGTGTGAGAAAGGTGACCAGTTGTTCTTGCAGTGAGACCCCCTACCAGTTTTTCAGCCTCCAACCTAGAAGCGGTGGCCTCCAACCAACTAAGAAATCATTTGCAGGTGCCCAGCCAGCACTCCCTTCATGTGCAATAAGAACTTCGACTGTGCTGACTCGCAGGCCCGGGCTTGTTTATATATATATATATAACTGTAAATATATACATACAAGTAATATGTGCCTGTTTGAGTGATGCTCTTTTGGTGCTGGGAAAACGTTTTCAGAAAAGACCCGGAATGGACTTGAGATGTTTGGCATCCACGACTTTGCCGCACTTAACAACTTTGTTCCAACCATTCAAAGAAGAAAAATGAATTGATCCACTTTTCAGGATCGTTGCTGCGTGGCAACTGAGGAGGAATTTTTTTTTATGAGACATGATGAAGTCGGAACACATGTCTTAAAGACACCATCGCCAACTCTTTGCAGTACAAGGGTCTGCTGTAATGTGTATATGTATATGTATATATATATATTTTTTTCATAGGCAGACAATAATTTCTGCGTGATCGGCTTTGTTCACAGCAAAAAACACCCTCATTGTTGTTAGCAGGAGTGTAATCAGCATGGAGGGCTGCGTACCTGCGAGGCATGAAAACTTGCTTTAGATTTGCTTCCTTTTGACATGACAAACCCTATTCCACTAGGTTTGAACTGCCATCCTTCAGGTTCCAGCAAAGACTCCTTTGCTGACCCAAGCAGAGTCTTTGGCGCCAGTGGCCTAGATGGACTTTGATCATTCAGTTTGGTAAGTAAATTCTAGCCGCAGGACGTAGGCCCTAGTCTGGCAGCACTTGCACTTCGTTTTTGCCCTTTTGGCATGCCGAAGACTTAGACAAATAGAAGTGTGAGGCCAGCTTCGCTCACAATCTCTTGGGAGCCACAAGAGTGCCCTTCTCTGGGTGGATACATTTTTAAAGTATGTTCAACTGAGTGCCCGAAATGGCTCAAGTTTTGGATTGGTTCAGATTTTGCTTGACATCTTTGTTCAGGTACCTAGCTGGGCTCTTAGCATGACATGTACAGCAGATTTGTGCATATAATATACCCTGCTTATCACATCATCTGTATTGTGTGACTTCAGATTGGCTATTCAAGCTGCCAATTTCTGGAATGGCGTGTGGCAATATCGCAAGCTCGAAGCTGAGGGGCAGCTGAGTAAGGACATACGGATCGTGCTCGCGCTGAGGTTCACATTTATGGTGAAGGGGAATGGTGAGCCGCCTGCGGTGTTGACGGTTCCTTTTGGAATAGTAATTTTATGATGTTTTACGATCCAGGGAATGGGCTTTGGATTGCAACAGCCGGAACTACGACCAGCGGCTGCTTGGTGCACATCTTCAATTGTCTATTTTCAAGCTCGGTCCGTGGGGCTGGATGGCAAAACTTTGCAACGAACAATGCTCAGGACATGTACCATAGAGAATTTGCTCAGCCTGACAGCGTACAATGTGCAGGCAGGCAGTTTGAACAAGCTTTCACTGCTTTAGTGAACTAGTAGTTAAGTTTCCCTAAAGATCTAGGAACCAAATCATTGGTGCGAGCGTGAGCTAGCAGTGTCCTAGTAGCTAGGAACGAACAAGTTTCTCCCTTACTCAATTAAGTAGGCGCCTACTTAATTAAGTAGTAGGAGGGCAGAGCGGGCCAAAAACAAGAGCCTAGTCTTTGGATCTCTTGCTCCTGCCGTTGCGTTTTCGGTGTGTGACCCAAACTGAGGTCTGGGCCCAGTGCACAGTGGTGGAGCTCAGCTCATATCCAAATCGAACAACGGTGTCTGTCCGCAACTTGGACGTCCCAAAAACATCCAAAAACCAGTCTGAGAAAATCCAGAACCACATGAGAATGTTTCCTGGCGTCAGGTGGAAACAAGGCCAATACCCTCTGTGGCGCCTTCAGCACTTTTCTGCACCCGTCATACCCTTGGTGCGTGTGAAGCATCAAACCAGTTGCATGATACAACTTCCTGGACGTGCTTGTGCAATTGAGAATTGGAGCCTCTGCAATTCTTTGTGCTGCTGGCTATTTCTTCAAATTGAAAGAAGGAAAGAAAGACGGAGACAAAAATCACATTTGCCCTGACTTGATGCCAGGCAGATTGGTGGCCTTCCAGCAGTGAAGACTGCGAGTTTGTGGCTTGGCAACTGGATGCGCAACTCATGCCAAGGCCCTTTGTGCTTCAGAGTTTAAGAGCACGGCAATTGTACCAAGATTCTCGCTGACGTGTGCATTTCATTGCAGCAGTGTCAACTAGTGTCACTCTGTTAACCCTCATCCCATTTTGGCAAAAACAATTCACAGATGGCAATCAGGGCTTTTGTATGTCATACCAACATGTTTGAAGTGTTTCAACACATTCCACCTGTGCCAGAACTGCGGGCTTCACCACAGATGGTCTTTATGAAGAGGCAGCACCTGGAGGAGATTGGGTGACGAAGTGCTTGCTGTGCCCCAATTGTCATGCTTTGTGTCCTGCTGCGACTTTGCTGGGCCTGAAAAGGTGAAACATGACAAAGAAGCTACCAGGGGCTCCTGGTCATACTACTAGGAGCAAGGACGCCGCTAGGGGCTCTTGGCCTTACTACTAGGAGCAAGGACGCTAGGGGCTCCTGGCCTTACTACTAGGAGCAAGGACGCTACTAGGGG